AGAGGGACGATGCAGGGGTCCGTCACTGGCAGGAATCAGTCTCCTTACCCTGGCAAACCAGCACTCACCCGGGATTCATCAGACACCAGCCCGGATGAGTGGCCACCACATGCCGGACAGAGAGAGGCAGGACGCCTTCTAGCGAGTTTCTGGGTGAAATCAACTGTGTGAAGAATTGTAGAAAATCCTAGAGTTGCTGGAAATCCTAGTTCACAAGAACAGGAATGCTTAAGGAACGAGGCCCAGCTGTGGCCTTAAAAGCTGCATCACAAACACTTCCCCTGGACAGTGAAACCAGCAGGAAAAGGAATTCTCATGTCAGAGACAAGGATTCCAGGAGGTCAAGGGTCGATCACAGGGCCCTGGAGGATGCAGAGCCCCCATGCTGTCCATAGTCCACTGGCTAATAATGACCCCCTGGCCTGTTCCTTCCCACATTGCACTTTTTGATCTGTTGACAATTTCTCCCCACTTACTGCTGATGAAATTCCAGAGTTTGACCTTGAAATCTACAAGTGGTAGACTGGTGGTCAAGACACTCTTAACAGGACAAGGAGAAAATGCTCCCTCTTCCCGGAAAGCTCTAGAAATCAGCTTGTATATGTCAATCCCAGTCTACTATATATAATATAGATAACTAATAAGAACCTACTGTACAGCATTCTGAACTCTGCTCAATACCCTGTAATGACCTGTATGGGAAAAGAATCTAAAAAAGAGTGGATATATGTGTATGTATAACTGACTCACTTTGCCGTACAGCAGAAACGAACACAACACTGTAAATCAACTATACTCCAATAAAAATTAATTAAAAAAACATATTTTGCCAATAAGAAAAAAAAAGAAAAGCAGTTTGGGAGGAAGTTATTTTTTAAAAACTGGGATAAAAATATATATAACATAAAAATGTTAATTTTATAAACAAACATTTATTTAAATATTAAATTATTAAATAGATTATTTATTTATTTATTTGGCTGTGTCGGGTCTTCATTGCGGCTCTCGGGCTTCTCTCTAGTTGTGGTGCGCAGGCTCCAGAGCGCGCGGGCTTAGTAGCTGCGGCACACAGTCTCTCTAGTTGTGGCCCACAGGTTTAGTTGCCCTGCAGCATGTGGGGATCTTAGTTCTCCGGCCAGGGATCGAACCCACGTCCCCTGCATTGGAAGGCAGATTCTTAACCACTGGACCACCAGGGAAGTCCCAAACATTTTATTTTTAAAAGTATGATTCAGTGACATTAATTCTATTCTCACTGTTGTGCAACCATCACCACTATTTCCAAAACGTTTCATCACCCCAAATAGAAACTTTATACCCATTAACTCCCCATTCCCCCCCCCACCTCCACCCCAGTAATCTCTTCTACTTTCTGTTCCAATCAATTTGCCTGTTCCAGATATTTCTTACAAGTGGAATCAGTGTTTTCAAGGTCCATCCACGTTGTAGCATGAATCAGAGCTCCATTCCTTTTTACGTCTGAATAATATTCCTATGCATACTGTTGACGTACAATTGTGCACAGTATTCTCTCATAATCCGTATTTCTGTAAAGTCGGTAGTGATGTTCCCACTTTCGTTTCAGGTTTTAGTAATTTGAATGTCTTTTTCCCCTCTTTTTTCTTTAGTCAATCTAGCTAAAGGTTTGTTAATTTCACGGATTGTTTTTCAAAGAACCAACTTTTGGTTTTGTTGATCTTCTACTCCTCTGTTTTGTTTCTCTCCCCTATAATCTTTATTATTTCCTTCCTTCAGCTAGCTTTGGGTTTAGTTTGCTCTTTTTCTAGTTCTTTAAGGTGTAGAGTTAGGTTACTGATTTGAAATCTTATTTTGTAACGTAGGCATTGACAGGAGTAAAATTTCCTCTTTGGACTACTTTTGCCGCATCCTGTAGGTTTTTGGTACATTGGTTTTGATTCCTTTCATCTCAAGGCATTTTCTAATATCCCTGTGGGTTCTTCTTTGACCCACTGGTTGTTAAAGAGTGTGTTGTTTAATTTTCACATATTTATGAGTATTCCAGCTTTCTTCTCCTGTAGATTTCTGGCTTTATTCCACTGTGATTGGAAAAGATACTTTGTATGATTTCAATCTTTTAAAAATTACTGAGACTTGTTTTGTGGTGTCATACGTGATCTGTGCTTGAGAACACGCCACATGTTCTTGAGAAGGTGTGTTCTCTGTTATATTCTATACACGTTAGCTAGGTCTCATCTGATGTATGGTGTTGCTCAAGCCCTGTTTCCTTACTGGTCTTCTGTCTGGTTGTTCTAGTCATTATTGGAAGTGAGGTCTGAAGTCTCCAACCGTCTATTTCTCTCTTCAATTACATCCATTTTTGCTTCATGTGTTCTGGAGATGTGTGTATGTTTACAATTGTTCTATATTCTTGATGGATTGAATCTTTAAGCGATATATACTTTCTCTCTTGTTACCTTTTAGACTTAGTCTATTTTGTCTGATAATAACATAGCCGTTCAGCTACCTTTGTTTACTATTTTCACAGAATATCCTTTTCCATCCTTTATTTCAACTTTTTCATATCGTTGTAGATAGGTGGATCAGGGTTTTTAAAAATCCATTTTATCACTCTGACTTTTAATTGGAGAGTTTAACCCATTTACATTTAATTACTGATAAGCATTTTCTTCTTCCATTTAGTTATTTGTTTGTATAACTGTATGTCTTCTACACTTTTTGCTCCTCAATTCCACCACTATTGCTTTTTAAGGCTTTGATTTTTTTTTTTAATTAAAAAAATTTTTTTGTTTTTGGCCACACCTCGCAGCTTGTGGGATCTTAGTTCCCTGACCAGGGACTGAACCTGGGCCCTCGGCAGTGAAAGTGCAGAGTTCTAATCACTGGACCGCTGGGGAATTCCTTTGGTTGATCTTTTTTTAATAGTGCACCATTTTGATTCCTTTCTTTCCTGTGCATTTCTAAAAAAATATTTTCTTATTGATTGCCTTTGGGATTACAAGGAACATCTTAAACTCGTAACAGTCTAGTTTGAATAATACCAAATTAGTTTCAGTAGTATACAAACATGCAGCTCCTCTGATCTCCATCCCTCCCCCTTTATGTGGTTGTTGTCACAGGTTATGTCTTTATACATTCTGTTCCCATTAACACACTTATACTTATCGTTTTATGAATCTGCGTTTTAAGTCATATAGAAAAAAAAGAAAAGGTACAAACAAAAGTGCAACAATACAGGCTTTTAGAATTACCTATTAGTTACCTCACCTAGTGTTCTTTACTTTTTCACATGGCTTGGAGTTACAGTCTAGTGCTCTTTCATTCAACCCAAAAGGCTCCCTTTAGCATTCCTTGTAGGCAGGACTATTAATAACAAACTGCCTTAACTTTGTTTATCTGGCAACATCTTAATTTCCCTTCATCCTTAAAGGATAGTTTACTACATACAGAATTCTTTTTCTTTCAACACTTTATTTTTTATTGTTTTTGGCCACACCGCTTGGCATGCGGGATCTTAGTTCCCTGACTGGGGATTGAACCTGTGCCCCCTGCAGTGGAAGCACACAGTCCTAACCACTGGACTACCAGGGAATTCTCATCTTTCAACACTTTAACCATGTCACTCTACAGCCTTCTGGTTCCCATGGTTTCTGATGAAAAAACTCAGCTGTTAATCTTATTGTGGAGGGACCCCACCCCACCCCTTGCACATGACTGTTTCTTTCTTGCTGCTTTCAAGATTTCCTTTTTGTCTTTCAACAGTTGTGTTGTAATGTGTCTTGTGTGGCTCTCTTTGAGTTTATCATGCTTGGAGTTCATTGAGCTTCTTAATGTGTAGACTTATGTCTTTGATCAAATTTGAGATGTTTTCAGCCATTATTTCTTCAAATAATCTCTCTCCTTCTGGGACTCTCTTTATGCATATGCAGTTACATTGGATGGTGTCCCCACAGTCCCTCTGGGTCTGTTCAATCTTCTTCCTTCTTTTTCCTTTCTGCTCCTCAGGCAGAATAATGTCAACTGCCTTAGTTCACAGATTCTTTCTTCTGACGGCTCAAATCTGCCACTGAACCCCACTAGTGAGTTCTTCATTTCAGTCATTGTACTTTTCAGATCCAGAATTTCCACTTGGTTTATTTTTATAATTTCTATCTCTTTACTAAATTCCCTATATGTCCTTACATTGTTCTCTTGATTTCCTTTAGTTTTTCGTCCGTGGCTCCTTTTCGCTCGCCGAACATATTCAAGACAGCTGACTTAACGTCTTTGACTCGTAATTTTAATGTCTGAGCCTCCTCAGGGATAGTTTCTGTCCAATTCTTTTTTTTTTTTTTTTCCTGTGAACAAGCCCTATTTTTCTGTTTCTTGATATGCTTTGCGATTTGTTGAGACCTGGATATTGAGAATTATAATATCGTAACTCTGGAAATCAGGCTCTCCCCCTCCTCAGGGATCGCTTCTGTTGCTTGAGGGCTGCCGTCTTCCGTTTCTGTAGTGACTTTTCCAAACTGTTTTTGCAAGGCCTATATTCCTTGTTGTGTAGTCACTGCAGCTTCTGCCCCATTGTCTCAGGGCGTCAGTGTGTGACCTGACAGAGATTTCCTTAACAGCTGAAGTTCAGCAGCCATCACCCTTCCTCAAGCACTCTCCTGGTTGTTGTGTCTGATGAGGTTCCAGAGTCTCAAAAGTGTTGATTCTGATAGTTTTTTTCCCCCAGCTTCATTGTTGTTTCCATGGAGAGACTGATCTTTACTCCACCATTTTCTGTTAAAAACGTTATTTTTATTTATTTAAAAAATATTTATTTATTTATTTGGTTGCACCGGGTCTTAGTTGTGGCACGCGGGCTCCTTAGTTGTGGCATGCGAACTCTTAGGTGCGGCATGCATGTGGGATCTAGTTTCTTGACCAGGGATCGAACCCGGGCCCCCTGCATTGGGAGCGCGGAGTCTTAACCACTGCGCCACCAGGGAAGTCCCCAAAACGTTGTTTTTAAAAACACTGGAATTTCACAGGTTGCTGCTATGCCGTGTGAAAGCACTTCCAAATTCAAATATCAGGGGTTCTGAGGGGCTGTCTCAGCTCATGGCCCAGTTTAATGATACTGAAGTGAACATCTGCTCTGTGAAAGGTGGACTTCTCTGTTTCCTTAAGTGAGCCAGAGAAGGGCGGCTGGCCCTTCTTGCTTTTCCTGCCCTTCTTTATTTCCTGTGTAAAATAAACCAATAACCCTGCAAGATTTCCTATTTGAACATGGAATGTGAGAGTCTATATCTCACTTCAATGAGCACAGGCAATGAAAGAACAATACCACAACTCCCAGGCTATAGTAGAAACAGGGTTTTAATATAATATTCAAGTCTAGCATTTGCTATTTACAACAAATAAATATTGCCCCTCCCCAACTGGTAAACATTTTTTTTCACCTTTTATACAAATATTCAATCCCCCTCCCCTCCCCCCGAAACCCTCCTTTCCCACCAATCCCCGTCTCGTGTGGTCTCGTAAAGCCCAGGATACAGTGGTGGATGGCACTTGCAGTGTCATGAAATCTGACATCAGTGGGACTTGGCCGAGACCGTCCTCACTCACCGGTTAAGAGTGTGGTCCGTGAAGGGGGTGTCTCTCTCCTCTGCCAGGGGAGGGCTGGAGTGGGCAGTGGGCGAGACTCCCTCACTTTCAGTTGGCCCTGATGATGGAATCTTTGGTGCAGCCTGAGGAAGGCCACAATGGTGGGAGGAGAGAACTGCAGTGGTCAGACCCGGTGGATGAGTAGTGCCCTGGGGTGCCCATGGGCACAGGTGGCAGTGGCCCACACCTGGGAAGGTGTGAGGGAAGTGTACGGAGGGGCAGTGCCCGGCGGCATGCAGGGCTCCGTGCCCATTGGCAGCGCTCCTTGGCAAAAGTCAGCTAGTCCTCTGGTTCCAGAGAGCAGAAGGCACCTAAGGCAGCGAGTGGTCCACGGGAGGCCAGGTCAGCCCATCGACTGGCAGGCATCAATCCCGGCAGCAGGAGAGGTTCAGGGTGAAACTGGAGTCTGGGGGTGGCCTGGGCTGGCAGCTTGGGCACAGGTGCCCACCTGGCCTGAGCCACTGTAGTCTGTAAGTGCTTAGTTGCCCAGCCAGCTAGACCCTGGAAAGGGCAGCTCTGTGGCTGGCCAGCTAGGGACAAGTTAGAAGATGCCCTTGGCAATCTTGAGTCCCTTCTGTTTCATGCGCGGGAGGGTAGAGCTGGCTCCATGCCTGACCTTTGCCCCCTTGGTGAAGGTCCGTTTCTTTAGGACAAAGTCATAGTTGGCAGTAGAGTTCATGGCGTAGAACACGTTGGCGTTGTCAGGGATCTTCAGCTCTGGTCGGGGAGGGGCAGAGGGTCAGCTGTGCTTATGCGGGCCCCACTGGACACCCCACCACTTGAGAGCCCCCAGGAGGGCAGGCCTGATCCAGACACCTGAGACCCCTCAATGCAACTCCAGGACCACCAAGGACCCCTCTTAATGACACCTGCCTGGGACAGACTCTGCTGAGGCACTGAGGGACTTCCCTGGTGGCACAGTGGTTAAGAATCCGCCTGCCAATGCAGGAGACACGGGTTTGATCCTTGGTCTGGGAAGATCCCACATGCCGTGGAACAACTAAGCCCGTGCGCCACAACTACTGAGCCTGTGCTCTAGAGCCTGCGAGCCACAACTACTGAGCCCGTGTGCCGCAGCTACTGAAGTCTGCACGCCTAGAGCCTGTGCTCCGCAACAAGAGAAGGCACCGCAGTGAGAAGCCTGCGTACCACAACAAAGAGTAGCCCCCTCTCGCCACAACTAGAGAAAGCCCGCACGCAGCAACGAAGACCCAGCGCAGTCAAAAATAAATAAGTAATTAATTTTAAAAAGAAAAGAAAAAAGGAACTCAAAAACTAAAAGGACTCTGGGGACTTCCCTGTTGGTGCAGTGGTTAAGAATACGCCTGCCAACGCAGGGGACATAGGTTCGATCCCTGGTCCGGGAAGATCCCACATGCCGTGGAACAACTAAGCCCATGCGCCACAACTACTGAAGCCCGTGTACCTTAGAGCCTGCGCGTCACAACTACTAAGCCCATGCACTACAACTACTGAGACTGAGTGCCAAAACTACTGAAGCCTGCGCACCTAGAGCCCGCGCTCTGCAACAAGAGAAGCCACCGCAATGAGAAGCCCGCGCACCGCAACAAAGAGTAGCCCCCGCTTGCCGCAACTACAGAAAGCCTGTGCGCAGCAACGAAGACCCGACACAGCCAAAAATAAAAATAAAATAAAAATAAAAAGGACTCCGACTCCAGGAAGCCCCACCTCAGTCTGCAGCTGGCAAAGGGTCACCCCATCCTGCCCCCTGCTGCCTTCACTGATCGGGAGGTCCAGCTGCAATAAGCTTTCTAGAACCTAGATCACCTCCCCGGAATCCTGCACAACTCAGGACAAGGGCTCTGGGGCCAAGTTAAGGGCGGGCTTTGCCCCAGGCCTCCTGCACAGGGTTTCATAGGGTGCCAGGATCCCAGCAGGTGCTTGCTCTTGGCTCTGTTTCCCATCCTCTCCTCTGGCCTTGAGCCTGTTACTCTCCACTGCTGGGCTGGAACATGTGTGCTCTGGGCTCCATCGTGTGGCTCTTACTCTGGTCGTTAACCTGTCTAGGTCTCAGGCTTCCTTTTCTGTAAGATGGGGGTCCCACCTGCCTTGCTTACCTCACCAAAATGGTGCAACAAGGTTAAGAGAGGATTTAGAAAACAATTTCTAGCGGTCGTGGCGGGTCATTGCTAACTGTCTGGGTAATGGCTGTGAATGCAGCATGGGAAAGGAAAGAGTGATGATAATCTTTGCAGTTATGGCACATCTATGGCACACGTACACACATGAGCATATAATCCATGTATATATGGATCAACTCACTACCTATTTTATCTCCATTGTGGGGATGGGAAAATAGGCACAGAGGACTTAAGGAATTTGCCCGAGGTCTACAAGCTGTAGCTGTCTGGTTCCAAGTCTGTGCTTGTTCTTGATCCTTTCCCTTTCCCAGTTTTTAGAATACCCAGCTGCTCCCTAGTAGCCTCTGTGTTTAGTATCTACTATGGGCTGAAAGTTGGTGTCCTCTCTAAATTTGTTGAAATCCTAACCCCCAATGTGATGGGATTAGGAGGTGAGGCCTTTGGGAGGCCATTAGGTCATCAGGGTGGAGCCCCACGAATGGGATTCGTGCCCTTATGAAAGGGACCCCAGAGAGCTCCCCACGCCCTTCCACCATTTGGGTTCATAGTGAGAAGTCAGCCACCCGCAACCCAGAAGAGGGCCTTCACCAGAACCTGACCATGCTGGCACCCTGATCTTGGACTTCTAGCTCCAGAACCAGGAGAGATAAATTTCTGTCATTTAGAAGCCACCAGTGGTGGTATTTTGTTATAACAGCCAGAACGGACTAAGACAGTGTCATACGTTCATGGATTTTCACAAATTCGATGCTTTAATCCACGGTAGTCGTGATCTTTTCTGAAGCACTCATTTCCCATCTTAGCCAGAAAACGCACTTTTGTACGGCCTGTGGGCTCGGCCATCTGGCTGCCTGGCCCCAGGAGAACAGCCTTTTCTCCCCCCTCCTCAACCATGCTAGCACTGAACGAGGTCTCCCACTGACTATTCACGGCCACGGAAAGGCAAGGAACAAGGGTCCAGCAGCCACCAGGGGCCAGTGAGGAGACACTGGGGGCATCCAGAGCTGCCCCTAGGCAGGTCTGTGTGTGGACAAAGCCCACGCCCACCCTGGTGGCATGTCTTCTGGGGTGGTGGGCCTGGGGCATGGTGCTCCCTGCCTCCCGGCCCCATCGCCCGCCTGACCGGCCCTGACTTACTTCGATCGTCCGAAATAACCTGCACCAGCTCGTAGTCTTCTGGCTCATCCTCATCCAGGTTGTGTTTGTCCATGGCTTTGCGGATTACAGCTGGAGCCTTGTCTTGGCTGGTCACCTGGACGGGGTGGGGGACAGGCCATCAGGGCAAGGGTCTGGCGTAGCTTGAGGGTCCAGGGTGTAGCAGCCAAGGGCCCTCAGAGCTGCCTCGGTGCTGTGCGCACAGGGGCTCACAGCCTCTGACCCGAGGCTGGGTCCAGGGGGGTTGCGCCTCCTTCTCCTGCCCCTCTGCGGAGGCCTCCATGGACCCTGATCACTTACCCCCCAACTCCTGCAAGCCTGCCACCTCCTCCCAACACCACCTAGGGCAACCGCCTGCCCCCGGGGCTGCTCCCCTTAACCGTCCCCCTTGATCCTGCCCATCCGGGACAACGGTATCATTGCACCTGGGTACAGACGGCATCTAGTCCCAGCCCTGGAGGTGAGAGAGGAGCAGCTGGCTGGATGCCCAGTGGCCGCCTACGTGCCAGGCCTGCACTGGCTGGAGGCTGCAGTGGTGGAGCGTGCAGGCCGAGCCCTGCTGCCTCGACCCCAAGGGCCAGAGCACAGGCAGGCCTTAGATTCGGGGTGACACAGGTGACAGTGTTAATGGGGCATCTGACCCAGTGTGGGAGGATGGGGGAGGATTCTGGGGGTGCAAATGACTCACTGGCAGCCTGAGTTCTGGAGGATGAGAGGAGTCCCCCCAGCCCCCAACCCCCCCTCAACATATCCCCTCCAACTATCCCCGGTGTCTGACACTGCCGGCCACCTCCACGGCCACCAGCCTGGTGCAGCCACTGCTACCCACCCTGGATTGCAGCCGCCGCCTCCTAACTGGCCGCCCTGCAGCTGCCGGCACCAGCCCATCGCCCACGGAGAGGCCGGAAGTCACTGCTGCCCCTCCTGTGCTCCAACGAACAGTGCTCCCACCTGTCTCGCATGAGATCCAGGCCCCCGACGCTGGCCTGCTCTGCTGAGCTCTACTCTTCCCCCGACCCCTGCTCCTTCACTGCGGACCTCCTGCTTCTCCTCCAAGCCCCAGGCACACTCCCATCCTGGGAGGCTGCACGCTGCTCCCTCCTCCCCACCACACTCAGGGCCTTTATGGGTGAGGTCCTGCCCCACTGCTGCTGTAAACCCCTAGTCAACCACCCCGGCACAGATCACCATCGACACACTAGCTGTTTTATTGTTTTGTTTTTTTTTTTTGCCGTACGCGGGCCTCTCACTGCTGTAGCCTCTCCCGCTGCAGAGCACAGGCTCCGGACGCGCAGGCGCAACGGCCATGGCTCACGGGCCCAGCCGCTCCGCGGTATGTGGGATCTTCCCGGACCGGGGCACGAACCCGCGTCCCCTGCATCGGCAGGCGGACTCTCAGCCACTGCGCGCCACCAGGGAAGCCCCCACTAGCTGTTTTGATTCCTTTCCCTGGTTGGCCCTCTGTCCTTCCCAACCCACCAGGAGACCAGTTCTGGGAGGGCAGGGATGACCCATGGTGTTCAATACGGATTTGCTGCCTGGCAGAGTGAGGGGCCCGCGGGGACGCCCGCCCGGCTCACCAGGATGCTCTTGTACATGTTGCCGTTGTCCACGTCCAGGCTCACCCGGATGATGCAGCAGTCGCCCACCTGCTGGTTGTAGAGGGGCAGGGAGGAGCTGTAGCTGCAGACCCCTGACACGGAGCGCTTGTGGGTGCGCGTGGTGGCCACGGGCGTGGTGGAGGCTGAGGAGGACGAGGTGCTACTGGAGGCCGAGCTGATGCCGGAGGTCTCTGGGGACGACTGGGAGGTGCACTCCCAGAACTGCGGGGACGGCACGATCAGCGGAAGCCCCGGGCCACTGTCCAGCTCCGGGGGCTTCTGGTGTGCAGCGGGGAACTCTGGCCCTAGGAAGGGCTGAGAAGGGCTGTCAGGGAGGGGGTGGGGCAGTCACCTTCTTCTCCTGGCCGTCAGGGGACTCTGGGACAAAGCTCATGGTGATCTCCTCCACATCGGAGCTGGAGGAGCCGGCCGAGTGGACACTCAGTGCGTCGGCAATGTCCCCGCTGCTGAGGTAGGGGCCGCACCTGAGCTGGTCACAGGACTTGGAGTGGTAGCTGCTGCCGGTACTGAGCTCCGTGCTGGGGGCCTGGCGGCTGCATGGAAGGGCTGGCTGACTTGGGGGAGGCCTCCCCTGGGACACAGCCCACCCCTGTCCCCTACACTCTGTGCCGAGTGCTCAGGCAATCACCCCGTTGGCTCCAGCGTCCGACAGATCATTTAGCATCACCCCATTTCACAGGGGGAAAAACTGAGGCCCAGAGGGGTGGAGCAAGTGGCCCAGTCACAGGGCTGTCGGCGGGGGAGCTGGGATCCCAGGGCCAGCTGCCTGACTCCCGAGCCCACTCGCAGCCCGAAGCTTCCCTGAGCCCCAAGGGAGCGCCCCTGCCCACCCGGGCACTCAACTCGCTCCAGCGCTTGACGATGGCCGTGCTCTTCTTGACCTTGAGGGTGTTGCTGGCCGACTCGGAAGGGGGCTCTAGCTCACACGACAAGGAGTAGCTACAGGACAAAGCGGCGGCTGTGGGGAGTCGCACCCGGGTCTCCCTCCCGGTGCCTGCCCGGCAGCTAGAGTCCAGGGGCCCGGCCGTCACCAGCGACGGCACCCAAGGCTGCCCAGGATCCCAAGCCACAGGCTCTCTAGAGCTGCCCAGGGACAGCCCACGTGTACCCCCCCAGCTCCTGCCCGGACTCACCTGTCAGCCTCGCTGAGCCGCTCCATAGCCCGGAACCAGGCCCCAAAGTGCTCTTCGGCTGCGATGCTGTAATTGTTGCAGGCCGATTGGAGCAGCTTGATCTGGGCGATCACTTCGAACTCCTGGGGCCAGAGGGGAGGACAGGATGCTGACGGTCTGGGTCGGCCGGGCCTGTGCCAGCCTCTGGGTCCCCACTTCCCACCCTGTCCTCACAGCCAGGTTCAAACAGCCCCTCCAGGAAGGTGTCCTTGATTCGACCTCCTGCCCCATCCTCCCGTGGGAAAGGCTCCCCCTCTCTCTGTATCCAGCTCTCCCCAAAAATGTGACAGGGAGGGGTCGGACCCAGCTGTTCTACCCAGGTGGCTCTCTGATCCCGCCCCCCACACGGGCCCCCTTCCCGTGAGGCTGCGTCTGCTCACCTTCCTCCTCTTCTCGAAGTTGATCAGTCTCCCCTGGAAAGCACACGGCCAGCGTCCATCAGAAAGTGTCCCCTAGCCCATGACCGCCCCTCACGGGTCTCAGGCTGCACTACCCAGGGCACACACCAGGGGGCAGCACAGCACACACCTGGACCTGGGTGGGGCCGGGGTGCCGGGGCGGGGTGGGAGGGGCGCCGCGGCTCAGGGGTCTGAGGACAGTTAGAGAGACTGAGGCCTTGGGCAGGAAGGCCAGGTTGGCCACATGTGCCTGACCCTGGAGGGCCCAGCCTCTCCACCCATGGCCACCACCTGAGGGAGGGGCTGTGTCCTGCTGGGTCAAACCCCTTGCAGCTCTGATGAGCCCCACCAGGCGGGCACCAAGCTCTGTTCACTCACTACCGAGACAGGCAGGTGTCCCCGGGACACAGGGGCGGCCAGGGGCTCTCGTAAGATGAGGTGCACCCTCTGCTGAGAGCTCGGGGCTCAGGACGCCCCGACCCCGGCCCTGGGTTCACTCACATACAGATAGTCCTTCATTGCAGTGTCCAGCATCACCAGGTCTGTGAGGAACGTGCCCAGGTAGGGGACGGTGCCCTGGATGACACCCTGTGACAACTGGGTGGGGGGGGGGACTGATGAGCAAGGCCCCTCCCCTGAAAACCCCTCAGCCCCACTCAGGCCTCCCACTTGGAGCAGCCTGGGGACCTTTAGCCTTTTCCCCCCAATCCCCCTCCCAGTGTGCATGGACCCAAACTCCCTCAAGTCACCTTGCAGGCTTGGTATTTGGCAAATCCCCAAAATCTATGGCCCCTCCCCAATCCCCAGTGGGCCCAGATCTTCCAGGCCCCTGCTCTGGTGGTTACTAGTCCCCTGACACCAGCTGTTCAGGGCGCAGCGCCCCCAGGCCCCGGAGTAGGTCGGTCTAAGGGTCATGTCAGGCAGCGCAGCTACAGGAGCGGGGGCTCGGGGCGGCCCCTCCTCTCCCAGCCTCGGGCACACTCACCACCTCCTTCGGCCGCCTCTGGGCTCTCTTGGGGTTCATCTCCAGGGTGGCAAACTTGGAGGTCCCCTCCTGCAGGGCCGAGGACAGGGTCGGTGAGGCCTTCTGACCCTCCCCCCATCAACCACCAGCAGACACGACCTTGGCCCTGGTCACTGGTGCAAACGCTCCAGCCATCCCAGTGTACTCCATTCCTAGATCTGCACCCCTGCTCGGGTGCTCACGGGCTGTGGGAACGTGGGTCAGCAGCCCGGCCTCCTTGGAAAGTACAGATAAGGATTACACCTGCCCCTTGGGGTCTCCGAGGACTCAGCGCCACACCTCCATCACTGTGGCTGTGCTGTTCCCCCCGACCCCCCGCCTCTGCAGGAGGGTAGGAGGGTCCCGCACAGAACTCACGCAGATTTCCCTTCCCCCTTGAACCTCACTGCCTCCCCGTGAGGTTGGCACCCTGGGGTCAGCATTCGCCCACTTTCCGGATGAGGAAACTGAAGCCCAGTGGCAGGCATTGCCTTGCCTCTGAATGAGCCTCAGAAGGGCTCAGAGCCTCTGGTGTGTGCCGGCCCCCCGCCGGGCGAGCCACCGAGAGAGGGACAGGGAGTCTGGGGGTGCCTGGCTGAGCAGGGTGTCTGCCGCGCCAAGGCCTTCACAGCCCCACGGAGCCCCTCGGGATGTCCCCTGCACAGAGCTCTGCCTTCAGCCGCTCAGGAGGGGTCTCCTTGGTGCCACCTCTGAGAGGGTGAGCTGGGGCTGCTGGGAGCACTGGGTGGTGACACTTTGCTTCCTCTTTGTATGGAAGTTTCCGGGGAAGGACCCCTGTGAATGCATTAGCACCCCTGTGCACTTGCCACAAGCCATCTGGGCCATTTGTCACGGCCACCAAAGGCCCTGTGGCGAGACTCTGAGAAGAGTCCCTGGATTCCTTTGCAGTGTCTGCCCTGAGGCAGAGGGAAGAGCCCCCAGCCCCCAGATCTACCTCCTGGGTCTGCTCATTTGGACGACGGCTGGGCGGCCCCTGCAGTGCCATCCCTGGGCAGGCGGGGTGCCTGGCCCTCGGAGGTCAGCGCAGACAGGAACAGCAGGGCCTGGCTTTGTGGGGACAGGCTAGGCTGGTCTGGGGAAGGAAGAGACCCTCGCCCTTGACCTCATCCACCCCGAGTGCTGGGTGAGGGACCAGTGAGGACCCAGGAGACTCTAATCCTGCCCCTCACCTGCCCGCAGCTCTAGAACAGCCCAGCTGCCCTGCTCCATCCCTGTACTAGGGCCTCCCATCTCCCAAACTGCCCCCCACCTGCCCACAGACCCGACAGATCTCATGAGAAGTTTTCGAAGAAACTTTCAGTGGGAACATAAGCCCCTCCACCCCGAGCCCCCGGACTCTACCTTGATGAGCAGCTCTCTGCTTAGGGAGTAGTTGTTCTCATCTGAGAAAATCTCCGACAGCTTCTGAAAGATGCGGAGGCTGTCCCTGGGGGAAGGAAGGAGAAAGGAGGGCATGGTGGGGAGGGGTGCGGGGGCGAAAACATTTGAGGACCCAGAGACCCCAACTGCCTGGATGGGTGGTTTCCACACAGAGTTCTGCTGGACCCTAAGGGCTCGGTAGGCCTGGAGGGGTGGGTGTCATGTGGGTCGCCGGGGAGCCCCGCTCCCAGTCGACGGAGCGGCTGTTTTGACCAGCTCTCATTTTAAGTGCACAGAGTCGCGTGGGTGAAGTAGACACGTGAAAATCCCCAACGTGGCTCAAGCCAGTACCTGCCAGAGAAAGAGACCGGGTCCTGAGGCAGAACTGCTGGCCCTGAGAGACCCCGCCCCCAGGATGCGCTGTCCCTGGGCAGGTTCCAGGCAGCACCCAGCCCCGTGGAAGGCCCCAGGTCCACCCTGGAGCTCCTCCAGGGAGAAGCCTGCCCACCTGGAAACTTCTTCCCACGTCTTCTTCAGCCGGTGGATGGAGTTGCTCTGCAGAGCCGAGAGGATGGCGTAGAGGGACGAAAAGTTCTTGAGGACCCGGCACTCCTGGGAGGGAGGGGCCAGGCTGTGAGAGGGGGCCGAGCTCCCGCCTGCTCCAGCTTCAGTCCCTCTTAGGGGGGCACCCCCCTCCCGGATGGGACAGATGCCCCGGGAGGTGCTCCTGGGGTCGGATGAGATCAACTCAGGGGCAGAAAGGGCTCCCCGGGCCCTTGGCGGCCGCGTACCCGGGCCACCTCGATCCAGTGCTCCAACACCCGGGCCCTGGCGCGGGCCGTCACGCTCCGGTCCCCGAGGCAGGTGGTGATGACGCAGTTGGCCACACTGTTGAACTGGGCGACGGTGGCACGGACGGTGGGAGCCAGGTGTTCCTTGCCCCTCTTGTCCCGCTGAGACCAGATGGAGCCCAGGCAGTGGTAGGGCACCACCTTCTTGAACAGCTCCTGGGGGCAAGGGGAAGGTCACCCGGCACTGCTGCACCCCAGCTCAACGCCCACAGTCCCCCCAGCCCCACCCCCAGGCCTAGGCAGGGTCACTGGTCAGAGCTGGAGCTCTGGAAGCCGGGGAGGCGGCTCGAGCCCGGCCGGGGGAGGTGCGGGGAGGTGGTGTCTCTTGGTTTTGTTCCCTGCCCACTGTGGGCACCCAGCGCAAGGTGACCCAGGGTGACCCTGGCAGGAAAGAGAGGTGGCCACCTTCCCCAGTCCACCCCAACTCCCAGCACGAGATGCGGCTCACACCTGCCCATACAGGTGGTGCTTTTAGCCCTTGATCATGCCTCAGGCCTGTCCCCTGTCCAGATGCCCATTCACGTGGGCACTACAACCAGAGGCTGCGTCTGCCACGGCTTCTAGCACGCACCAGGTGCCTGCTAAGTGCTGAAGCTGGTGAGGCCTCCTCCGCAGACGTGGGGGGCAGGGGGGGCGGCCCATGGAGAGAGCGACCGTCCGCTACCGGGTGGGCCAGACCCCGCCCAGCTTTCTACCGCTCCACCTCATTCCACCCAGACACCGTGTGCGAGGGATGGGGCCCGGGTCCACAGCCTGGAGGGGAGTCGAGGCCTTCGGGTGAGGAAACCTGCCCAGGCGACACGGTTTGTCATGGGATTTGGGGCAGGAAGGTGCACCCCTGCCCGCCCTGCTGAGATGAGCTGCCTACCGCGTCCATCAGCGTGAACTGCTCTGCCACCAGGTCGGGCGGGAACGCCAGGAGGTGAGGCTTCTCCTCACCCAACCCGTTCTCTGCAGCCACGGGCGAAGGCCAGGAAGGCTCTGGGGCTGGAGCTGGTGCTGGTCCCAGAGCTGGCTCGAGGTCTGGACCTGGCACCGGCCTGGGTGCTAGAGCTGGAGCCGGCACTGGCTCGAGGGCTGCAGTTGGCTTCAGAGCTGGAGCCAGAGCTGCAAAGAAGAGCGGAGCTCAGCAACACACCTGCCTTTTTTTCCAAGACAGAAACCACATCACTGCCTTCTAGAGAAGCCTCAGCTCAAGAAGCACCCCAGGACGTCTCCCCGCCAGCGGTCCCCACGTGGACGGTCTGAGGCAGCCCCGGGGACTCCTGCGTGTCCAGCACCGACCCCGCTCCTCACCCTCCGGCTCTGCCTTGGTGAGCTCTGTGCGCTCCAGCTGGGCCAGGAGAAGGTGGGCGCGGCGCTCCAGGTCGGAGCCAGGCATGTTGAGCTGCACGTAGGCCACCAGCTGCTTGAGGCACGGGAAGTCCGGGGGCTGACAGAAGTCCTCGGAGTACTGGTCCAGCCAGGTGCCCAGGATGGAGGAGACGGCACTGGGGGCAGGCGGGCGGGCAGCAGTCAGGGGCCTGGCCTTTCCTTCCACGCGGCCCTCCCCTGGCTCCCCCATGGGGGCTGGGCTTCTGGGCCCGCCCCTGCCCCACCCGCACTGGGCTGCCAGGCGGGGGCAGGCCTGGTCGGCAGGCCTGGTAGGAAGGGGCCCTCCGTCCCTGGTGGCCACCTCTCCCTTCCTCGGGGGAGCCTGACTCTCTCCTGTCTGCCCCCAGCCCCCCGGGCCCTCCCCACTGGGAAGGAAACTGCAGGAGGGCAGGGAGGGCCGCGCCCGCTCTGTTCACCGCGCTGGCCTGGCCGCACACAGTAGGCGCTGCATAAACAGGGGAGGGAGGAGGGACAAGCAGAGTGCGCCCCTGCCCGGCCTTCACGGGCCTCGCGCACCGGAACCGGAAGCTCGCGCACCGACGGCTGCCTTGGTCTGTGCGCCGGGGTGCGGGTCTCGTCCTCCCTGGGACGCCATTCTTGGTGGTGGGGACGTAGCCAGCCCCCTGACCCTGACTGCGCTCCCGTGAGCCCCAGCTGAGCACTCACACTGGGCTGCGAGGCTGAAGTGTCAGCAGCTTGCCCCCCACACCTCCTGTCCTGGGCCCCGGATCTGAGGGGGGATGGATGTTCTCAGGGGCCGGCTCTGAGCCCCCAGCCTCCCCTCTGCTCCCTGGGGACATGGGACCCCAGCCACAGCTCTCTGACTCCTTTCCTCCTGCAGGAGAAGCCCCCAGGCCTCAGCCCTCCAGCGGGAATCACAAGATATGTGGCAGCCAGGATTCTGCCCAGCCCCTCCCATCAGACCCAAAGTCTACTCACTTTTTCAGTTGGTCCTGAGGTCCGCCGTCCTCGCTGGAATAAGGGAGGATGCACCCGTATCTAGAGGAGGCCGTGAGGGCGTCACATCTACCGTACCTGCTATGACGTCTAGTGTTACTGGCTGACCCCCCGGCTAGGATGGAAGCCCAGGAGGGCGGGGATTTTTGTCTGCACCGTTCACTGAATTAAGCCAAGTGCCTAGAAAAGTGCCTGCACACAGTAGGCGCTTCGTATGTATTTGCTGAAGGAATGAGCCCAACCAGCACCTTACAGATGCCTGAGTGGGCCTGGGCCCTCAGCCGGCCCCCAGCCAGCCCTGCCCTGGCTACTCCCAGGAAGGACCCCTGAGACAGAATCTGGAACCTCCTTTACAGATGGGAAAACTGTTCTGCCCAGCGGCTGGAAGCAGAGAGCTTCTCCATGGGGCAGAGGAAAACCTTAATTAAAACCACCCCAGCCCTCAGCAGCCCTTTCCACAGGGCCGGGCGCGGGGCCGCACTGTCCATGCTTATCCGACAGTCCTGGCAGCCCGGCCTTCACGTGAGTAAACTGAGGCTCAGAGAGGTAAAGCGACATTCCCAAGACACACAGCCAGTGGGTGGGCGGGGCGCTCACCTTTGGAACAGCAGGTCCAGGACCCGCTGGGTGGTGGTGAAGGCTCGGTAGGTGCACAGGAAGATGGTGACATAGGAGAGGTCGCTGCCCTGGAAGGCGGGCACCAGGTGCTCCACCAGCTTCTCCAGCGTGCCTGCCTTCACGGTCCGCACCTTGCAGGTCTCATACAGGTTCAGGGCCGAGTCATTTTCATACTGGGGTGGGACAGAGAGGCATAGACGGTCAGCGACAGCACCGTGGCCCGCTAGGTGGGCAGGGGCTGGAACTCAGAGGAAGCCCCAAGCACCCGGCGACTTCTGGACGGAGATGGGACGTGAGTGCCCGGAACAGAAAAAGGGTCTCAGCTTTTGAACTGGAGGTGGGGCGATGAAAACTCGCAATACCAACACCTTCAGGTAATTTTATTAGCTGAGTAATGACAGCACCTTGCCGTATTAAGGGCAGAGTCCCCGGGATCCCTGGCAAAGCATCCCCGTTCTAGAGATGAGAAAACAGAGGCTCAGCCTGGGGTGGAAAGGCACGGTATGTTAGGACCCAGAGGCTATTCAGGGCGGCACTGTGGAAATGGCTGCAGAAAGGAATCCCGTCAAGGTTCACGGCAGTGAAAGGCTGAGTTATGGTTGCTAACCAGCCTCCCTTCTGAAATGTTACGTATTTGTCAGGCCCCCGCTCTGACCTGGAGGGGTCATGGAGTTGTGTTCCGTGACGGCAAGTTGCAGAGAACCATATATAGTAGGCTGAGTCCTTTTTGGGTTAAAAAAAAAAAAAAAGCCCTACTAAGTAAGGTGATGAAAGCCTTGGCGAAGGTGTGGAAGGACAGTCGTTAAAACAAGAAATACTGGGGCAAAATGTATAAGTAATCCCAGCCTAACATGAAGTGGAAATAGTATGGAAGTGTCTTTTTTTGATGTTCATACAAATAAGTGAACAGAGAACTATGCACTTGGCCCAGCCCAGGGCTGGACAGTAGGGGAGGGCTGAGGGCCCAGATTCCTTTGGGAGCAGGGCTGGGGGCCCCCCAGGCAGGAAAGCCCTGGGAGGGAGCCCAGTGGAGTGGCCAGGGTGGCCCCTGCATCCCGGGCCTTGTCGGGGTTCTGGGCACGGAGACCCCCCCATCCACACTCACCCCGAGCCAGCGCTGGCCCTTGTTGGCGCCGTGGTGCACCTGAACCTTGCGCAGGGAGATGGAGTAGATGACACCGTTGACCAGCTCCTCGCCAATCTCCTGCGTGGAGCTCTGCAAAGACAGCGCCCGGCCACCGGGCAGGGGTGTCGGGGCCTGCCTGGCTGTGTGGCAGGGGACGCCCCGTGCCACTTCCTGCTCCCTAGATGAGGCAAAGGTCGGTGGCCACAGAGACCTCCAGCCCAGAATTTAACAGGACGACAGCTGGAGGGCCGGGGGTTACTATCGGGGCGGCAGGCACTGCCCCCAGCACCCCCGTCCTCACCCCACCAGCCATGGCTGGGTGTCAACAAGACGTACCCAGTGGGGTTCCAACAACAGCCTGCCCCTGCCCAGGGGGGTCCCCCCGCTCCCGCCCCCACCCCAAGGCGAGTACTGTTATCCAGTCATTTCACAGGTGACTACACGGAAGCCGAGGGAAGGGCAACCCATCCAAAGCCATGCCGCTGAGGGTAAACAGCGGAGCCGGGACCCCGAGGCCCTAACTCAGCCCACTGCACCTAGGGGGCTCTGGCCCCCCGAGAAGATGCCTCCCCCAGGGCGTGAGGCCCCTGGCCCCCTCACCCTCATGTGCCCAGACGGCACCTGCAACAGCTGCTCCAGCCCTGGAGTCAGCCTCCCGGGTCTGGGGCAGGTGCGGGCATCCTCGACAGCCACAGCCACGGCCACTTCCTTCCCTTTCTGCTCATTCAGTCTTGTGCCTTCTTGGGCAACAGAGGAGTTCCCAGTTCCCTGTTCGTCATCACGTGCATGGGGACAGCATGTGAATGATGACAGTGCTGGCATCCGGGCTGATGCCTGGGGTTCCACAGAACTCCAAAACCACGGGACTTTGGCTAGGCCAGGAAGTTTGGGGTGGGGGGTGTCATCTGGCTGCTTCCTAGACCCCGGGCAGGAAGACCCTTGTTTTAAAAGGCAGTGATCCCTCCTGCTGGGCAGGCTGGCCCGGGGGCTGCATCAAGGCCTGGTCAAGGTCACTCAGTCGTTGCTGCCCTGGGGTTCTCCACCCCCTCTCCCACTGCCCCTGTCCAGGGATGGGGTGAGCTTGCAGTGGGGAGGGGGGCCTAGGAGTAAAGAGACAGACCTCTGAGAGTTTAGGGAGGAGGGGGGAGGTGCTAGCTGGCAAAGCGCCATCATTCACATGGTCAATGCCAGCAGCTAGGATCACGGGTCACTGCCCCAGCTCAGGGTGGGTGTGGAGCTCACAGAAGGCCCAGTGGAAGTGCTGACTCAGCCTGGGCCCCACCGACAGCCTTTCCCTAAATCCCTTGGCCTAAGCTGGGCCCCTGGGTAGGAGCCAGGTGCTCAGTGTCCTGTGGGCTGTACCCCCGGACATCAGCACCCCTGGGGTCAGGGGCTAGGGAGCGGGATGGGCCTGGACCTCCTGCCTCAAGGGCTCTGGGAGGCCTGGGAGCCATCCTCCGGAAATCTACTTCCTCTGACCCAAGGCCGCCCTCCCACTCTGGGCATTGTACCAACAGGAAAGCCAGTGCAATCACACAGGGGCTCCTGACACTTCGCCTTCTCCGGAGACACAGCCAGGCATTTCTTGGAAGTCAGCAGGGAACCCGCAGGTAGAGGTCCCTCATCTCCAGAGCCCACGCTTGGGGAGGTCCAGCCCTTCCATCGAGGAGGAGAAGCTCCTCCTCCTGAGGCAGAACTGAAGCAGATGCGCACTTTCCTCCCCTGGGTCACCCATCCTTCCCCGGCCTAGAAGAGGCCGCGGTGATGGGTGATGTCAGGGGCCTGCCATCCACCTGTGAGACCAGGGCCCTGTCCACCCACCCCTACCTCTCCTCAGGGGTCCTCGACTGCCTCTCGCAAAGGCTGCTGCCCGCCCTGGAAAGGCCCGTCCCTCTCCGGGGGATTCCAGCCACCTCTGGTCCAGCCTGGAGCCAGACAGTGTCCTGATAGAGTTCCCGTGCTGGACCTGCCTGACTGTGGGCACGGGACTCGAACCCCGTGGGAGCACACACAGCACCTGGCTCCCAGCGGGGCCCCATCAAGGCCTGCTGGACAGAAGCGCTTCCTGGCCAGGCCAACCAATGGGAGGCCTCGCCATCCCTGAGCGGGTCTAAATAGCGGCTCTGCAGTGAGCCATGGGCCTCGCTGGCAGAGGGAGCAGCTGGCTGCCCTGCCCAGGCGTCATGTGATCCCGAGCCCTTCCCCCACCCCGAGGGGCCCCCTTCTGCCAGCCCGGTGGGGGGCAGGGCAGGACGCTGAGAGCCGCACATGCTGGGCCAGGGGGAGTCACCGCCTCGTGGCACAGATGCGGAGCTGCTCCAGCCCCGCGGAGCTAACCCTGTCCTCTCCGGGCCCTTCACCGCAGCCCAGCAGCAAGAACAAAACCAGATCGTCCAAGCAGCGCAGAGAGCAGGCGCCATTTAAACCATCGACCAAGAGACAACGGCGGGGCGGGATCCAAAGAGAGCTGCCCGCATCCTGGGCACAAAGCGGCAGAGTGGGGCGTCTGCTCTGCGCTCCCACCGCGCTTCCAGGGACAGAGAAGGACAGCGGCCGACAGCCCTGGCACCTGCCCCGGGACCCTCTGGGGCAGGAAGGACTGGGCCCTGGACCCCACAGGTGACCCATCCTGTTAGCAGAGCAGACAGCACACAGGCCCGGGAACAGGCAGCCCGTGTGGGCAGCACCAAGCCCCTGGGGGTGCTCTGGCGGGGGCTGGGGAGCTCCCGGGGGAGGGCATGGCTGAGCAAACAGCAGACACGCTGGGGGGAGGCGTCCACAGGGCAGCAGTGAGCTCTTAGGGGGAAAGAACGCCAGGTGGGTGGCTGTGTCCTCAGGGGACAGATCCTCCTGTCCCGCCCCAAGCAGGCACCCACAGATGTCCCCAGGGCCCGGGGACCCAGCTGGCAGCTGGGCCTTGCACACACTGCCCAGCCTACCACCACTTGGGTCTGGAGCGAGGGTGGTAAGATGCCTCCAGGCCCTCGTGAGCAGAGGCTGGCAGAACGGGCACCAGGGTGCCCCATACCCCACTGTCCCCCGGAGCACAGCCCGGAGCCCCAGGGACAAGGAAACAGCCTGGGTGACATGTTAGTGTGTCACCTGATCAGCCTTCTTGGGGTGATGGGCCAGCAGGATGCTGTGGCCCCAACTGACTGCAGGCCGAGCCCTGATTCCCGCAAGACAGAGTAACAGGGTTGCCGGGAGCCGATCCCACCCTCATTTCTGGAGAGAACAGAGGGGACCTACTGGGCCTTTTCCAGCCCTGCCATCTCCCCCAGAAGGTGGCTCGTGCCTGCACACACGGGGGTGGCACCTTCTCCCATCCTGGTGACCTCTCTCCTCCCACACAGCTGTACATTTGCTGTGGAAGCTCCAACTAGAGACCACGCGGGGCCTCCAGACCCACAGACGCCTCTGGCTGCAGACCGTCTCCCCCTCACTGGCCAGGGGCTCACGGAGGAAGAGGGCCTGAAGCCACACCATGGTCTCCTCCCTGGGGCTGCACGTGGTGGTCTCCTCCCTGGGGCTGCACGTGGAGAAACCTGGTCTCACTCAGGCGAGCGGGGGCGGGGGGGGGGGGGGGGGGGGGGGGGGGGGCCGTGGGAGGGCGGTGGCCCCCATGTGCATGAGATCACCGCCCGGGGACCTCATGGCACCCCGCTGAGCTGCTGCTCAGGCCCAGTGAGTCACAGAGGTCACCCGAGGCCCTGACCCAGCCACCCGCCAGCACCCTGCAGCCCTGGGCCCACCGGACCCACAGGTACTGTCTTTCCTGCAGGGCTCTGGCTCCCAGCTCAGCTGAGCCCTGCAGCCCTTGGCCTCAGTGAGACTGTCTGGGAGATGGGCGAAGGGCAGCAGCTCTCCAAGGGGACGAAGGCGGCAGGGGTCACGAGAGGGGACATGAGCGGCTCGGCGCCAGGCAAAGCACCCAGGAACAGGACCTGAGGGCGCTGTGGCTGGCGAGCTGACAATGGACACGGGGCCAGGGAAAGCCTCCCGGGAGACCTGCCAGATGCCCGGAGAGCTGGAGGAGGGCCAGGTGAAAGGGAGGGCGGGTCATCCTAAATCCGTGCAGAGGAGGAACCAGGCCTGCGGCTTTCCGACCCTTTAGCCTTCTGTCTGAATGCAGGAGCCAAAACACGAGAGGGATCAGGGATCAGACAGGGCTGCTTAGTCTCTCCGAATCCCAGGATCCCGGGACAGTTTGAATACAAAGTCGAGCACCCATTTTACAGAGGTGGAGACCAAGGCCCAGGGGAGACGGTCAAGTAGAAAATGTCCAAGCCCTGGTTCATCTCTCAGATTGTGTGCCCAGGGAGGGAGAAAGAAAACGCCAAATGTGTGTGGCCCTCCCGGTGGGCGACGGGGCGCCACCCTCGGGCCTGCCCCCACCCCAGGTGGGTGTCCTGCACCCTGAGCCCGAGGACATGAACAGACCCCCAGTGAGGACTCAAGGTCAGCCCTGGATGGGGGTGGCCACGCTCCTGGTCCCCAGGCACTGCAGCCCAGAGGTGGCCTTAGTAGGGGACCACACGAGGTGCATGGGTGGCAGGGCAACCGGGGAGCTCAGTGACCCCAGAAACTGCAGTTTGGGGACCAGCCTGTGCTGAGCCTCCAAAGAGGCTGACCCATCTCCCCAAGAACCTTCTCGGCCAGCCCGAGCCTGGCTACTCGTCAGCGTCTAGAAGAGAAACGTGCCGCCAGTGGAGAGCGGAGACCAGACCTCAGGCTGGCCTTGCCCACCTCGTACTCCTGCCCCCCCAGGACCGGCTCCTGACCGTCAGGCCTCTAGGGGCCAGGCCTGCAAGGGGGCATGGCTGGTGACAGCTAAGGAGGAGGGTGGCCTCTCACGAGGGGGTGGAGGGAGGGCCAGCTGACATCAACACCACTGGCCACAGCATCCAGCACTTGAGGGCATTTCCCAGGTGTCAGGCCCTTTGCACGCTCATCACACTTAATCCTCCCGACACCTCTCTTGATGGGTGGCGAAAGCCAGGCGGGGAGCTCATCCCCGTCAGGAGACAGGAAGAGGCAGCCGGGGCAGGGATTTGAACCCTGGCCCGTGACAGTCATGTGCCGTGGAGACACACCTAGGCCTCGCTCCACTGGTGGCTGCCACGGTCACAGCCTCAAAGTGCAGTTCAGCCCCTGGTCACACACATGCTAGAGGGAGGGAGACCAGAGACAGAACAGGCTTCCTCAGGTCACACAGCCAGAGGGGGGCGGGGGGGCGGGGAGTGGCAGTTCCCTCGCACCCGCACCTCTCCACTGAGAGGGGATTGGTCGGGGCTCCTGCCACAGGATGGCCAGGGCACCCATAGGCCTGGGGTCAGCTACAAGAACCAGGCCTGGGAAGCACCACGCTGACCAGGCTGGCCAGCATCCTTCTGGAGCCCTGGGCACGGGCACTCCCCTAGCACCCTGTCAGAAGACACAATCGTGGCAGCCACGGCCTGTCCGGCTCTGACGCAGTACCAGGCGCCATGGGGACCGCTTGCCAGGCCGCCTGTCTCTTTCGGTCCTCACCAGAAGCCTAAGTGGAGCAACTGGCCTCGAGTCCAGATAAGGAAACCAAGGCTCAGGGAACGAGAGCACGTCTAGGGCTGCGAGAGGCTGAGCCGGCCTTCCAGCCCAGCTCTCCTCCCTCCAGAGCCCAAGCTCTGGACCGGCACGCGCGACGCTGCCCCTTGGGTCAAAAGGACAACATCGTTCCTCCCTCAAGCCCGCAGAGCTGGCTGTGCCAGCATCCGGGGGCTCCCTGGGGAGGAGAGGAAAACGCCGGGCAACACGCACTCTCTGAGCTCCCAGACTGCAGGCCCATGCTGGGTGCCCTCACCCTGCTCACCGAGCACCCTTCTGGCAACCATCGGCTCACCCCCAACCCCGCCCCCCGCCACAGGCTGGTCAGGGGATGGAAACTGGGGGCTGCTCAAAGTTCCGCTTCTCTGCACTGGGCTGCAGGTTTCAACTCCCACCTCCTCAGAACTGGGTTGGGGACAGTGGCTTCACTGGAGCCACGTGTCCAGGAACGCGGCACTCCTGAGCCTGAGAGGCTGGACGCCGAGCCTGAGGCAGGGCGGACACAGCATGGTGCCACGCTGTGAGGGCCTTACAGGCAGCCAGTCCTCCACTGGGTGGCTGGGTGCCACCTCCCCAAACCACCCCCACTGGCCTGCTAGGAGGCTGCAGATGGCCAGTGCTAAGTCTCCTCCAAACCCTCCTCACCAGCAGTGAAGAAGGGCCTGGAAACGGCTAACTTCCAGGCTGAGGATGGGGCCCCAGTCCTGCCTGCCAGCGGTCTAACACCTCCCAGCACTGAGCCCCCACCCGCTCCTGCCCCAGGGCCATCCCGGAGCCGCTGGGGAAACAGCTCAGCGTGCCCAGTCCGGAGAAGTCCTCCCCGCCAGAGAAGGAACAAGGACCCAGTACCAGCCAGCCTGGCCCCTGAGGAGTAAAGCAAGAGGGGAACCCGAGAGTCCATGGGGGCCCAGCAGGTGGCAGCCGGTCAGGCCCCTCGTGAACCTGACAGGCTGTGCAGCTGCTGGAGGCTGCCCCC